AAAGTTTGACAAGCTTGGTGTGTCTTGACATGGATTTCTGTGATTTATCTTGTTTAGGTCAGTTCAGCTTCTTGAATCTGTAGGTTTATGTCTTTTGCCAAATTTGAAACATTTTTAGCCATTATTTCAAGAACATTTTCAGCCCTACAATTTTCTTCTCTCCTTTCAAGCTTCTGATGACACAAATGTTAGCTCTTACAGTCTAATAGGTTTCTGAGGCTCTGGTTTTGTTTATTTTTAATTTTATCTCTGTTCAGATTGGTAATATTTGTTGAACTATCTTCAAGCTCATTGATTCTTTCCTCTTCCTCCTCCAATCTTGCTGTTTAGTCTATTAGCTGAGCTTTTTATTTTGATTATTGTATTTTTCATCTCTAAAATTTTTATTTGGTTCCTGTTTATATCTCCTGTTTCTTTGCTGAAATGTTAATTTTTTGCTGCAGTTTTCTATATTTTCATTTGTTTCAAGAGTGCTCACAATTGCTTATTAAAGTATCTTTATAATGGCTGTTTTAATATCTTTATTATATAATTCCAACATCTCTTTCATCTCAATATTGGCATCTATTGATTGTCTGTTTTCATTTAGCTTTAGATATTCCTGGTTTTTGGCATGATAAGTGATTTTCAATTGAAACGTGGGCACTATTGTGTTGTGAGATTCTGGATATTATTTAAACTTGTTTTAGCTGTTTTTCTCTGACACTGATCCAACAGGGAAAGGGAGAGGTGCTGCCTCAGTGTTGCAGGTAGAAGTCCAGGTATCCAGGGTCTGCCTCTTTCGACACTCAAGTCATTACTGCTGGGTAGAGTTGGGAATTCCTGCTTTCCACTAGATTTCCAATGACAGCTCCCTAGCTGGGAGGTGTAGGAGTGTCTTATTACTGTTCCCACATGGTCTCCACTGACACTTTGAGAGGGGATGGCCTCTTAACATCCTAGAATGGGTGAGAATTTTGATTCCCTGTTTAGCCTTCTCTGACACCACCTCACAATCGTTGGTATGGTGCCTTGTTACAGCCTGGTGAGAAGGGTAGATGCCATAGTTTTCTGTGGTGTTTTGCTGAAGTAGACTGATTATTTTCTTAGAAGTGTTTTGTCTTGCTAGCCTGTTCCTTCTCTGCTTTTATAGCAAGGGAGAACAAGAATTTGTTTTGGCTTCTTTTGCCTACATCTGTTGGCATTTCTGGGTTGCTGGCTTCTCTACTACTCAGTTTGAGAAGTGTGCAGAAAAGAGAAAAAAAAAGTAAAAAGAAAACCCAAGGAACTCCCTATTATATTGTTCCTTAGGTTCTTAGGTTTCTAGCCTGACTACTTTTCTCTTTCCATTTATCAATGTTCTTATATTTATTTAACATGTCATGTCTAGGGTTTTTAGTTATAAGTTGGAGGGAGTATATGGAATACAATAATCTTTCTAGAAGTATAAATCCTTGCCTCTAAGTTTATATGGTCTTTGTGTGCTTCACATCACACAGTTTTACAGTGTATCAGAGCCTTGAGATAACTCTTGTAGAAAAATCTATATTACTTTAGAATGGTTCTAATGAAAAGGCTGAAAGTTTTCTTGATGAGTCATGCTCTATTTATTTTAATTTGAACTAACTATTAATGCTATCTCCTTGTGTTAATATAAAAATGCTAGAAACAAATCTGGACTAACAGGATTCTAGGGTTTAGTTTAGGGTATTTCACCATTCAGCTATGGTGACCTTAGGCAGATCTCTTGGCATCTCAATATTCTCATCTGAATTAAGAGTGTTGGACTTGTTAGATGATCTCTAAGTTTTTTTGTAGCAACAGCATTTTTATTTTTATCAATCTATTACTTTAAAGAAAATCTTACACTGTACCACAGGTTTGAAATATGTTGGGTAAACCAGTAAAATCTTCATAATTAGATAAGAAAAATAAGAATAGTTATTATTTATTGGATGCTTACTGTGATCATGGTACAACAGTATATGTTTTACCAATGTTATCATGCAACCTTGAAAACAATTTTTGAAGTAGAAGTTATATCCATTTTATAGATGAGAAAACAGGCTCAATTAGGTAAAAAAAAATGTCCTCTAAGATACTTGTTATAAAGACCTATTAGATTCCAAGTATATTTGATTTCAGAGTTGATGCTTACAACCACTCACATATACTATTTCTTTTTGGTCACTTTTCAAGAAGAAAATTATTTTATAAAAGTACTATCTTAAGGGTTCTGGATAGCTGAGAGATATAGTTTGCTTATAATTTCCCCATTCACTTTATTTTGCTTGTATTCATTATTTAGATAAATTCAGAAATGTACACAGCTTAATATTTCCCATTTATACTTTTTTAAATTTTTTAACATTTTTATTGTTGTTCAAGTACAGTTTTCTGCCTTTTCCTCCACCCCTCCCTACTCGCTTATTTTTATTACCCATCATTTATTAGAGACATATAAGAGGCATCATGTTGAGAAGTAAAGGAATAAACTGAGTATTTATACTATTATATTAAAAAATTTTAATTTGTCAACTTCCATGAACTTTATAGTGTCTCAGGAAAGTCTCAGAAACTAGAAGAAATATGTCATCTTTCTGTGTAAATTTTACTTCCTTCAGAGAATAGAAAGGAACTATTTGTAAAACTATTGAGCTAAGCAAAGGTAGAGGTCAAGAAAAAAATGTAAAAATAAGAAATACAGAAAACAGAGAACTAGAGATCAAACAATACCAAATTTAAAAGTATATAATAATTCAAGCTTTTTAATATGATACTAATTCCTAAAAATATTTCATAAAAATGTTTTTTGCTTTTAAGCAAGTTAAATGAATATGTATTATAAAAATGAACTATTAAATATTGAGCAGTTTGTTGATCTTATGTTTTCTGAAAATCAAAACTGTGTTGAAAAAAGATTTAACCTCTTAATTGAAATCAATTCTGTAAGTTTGTGTAGATCCCTGGTATATGTTTACTTGGCAAAAGACCTATAAGAGCTCTAATATGATTAACATAGAAAGGAGAGGATAACAATATGAGAAACCAGTAGTACATAAATTCTTATTATCTCATTTTTTTTATCCTTACCTGAGGACATTTTTCATTGCTTTTTAGAGAGAGAAGATAGAAGACAGGGAGAGTGAAGCATTGATTGGTTGCTTCCTGGCTACACAGGCGAAGTGGGGATTGAAGGCTCCTGGACCTTGGCCCAACCTGCAACCTAGGCTTGTGTCCTGAGTGGAAATTGAAACCTGCAAACTTTTGGTTATGGGACGATGCCCCAACCAACTGGGCCACACTGACCAGTGCATGATCTTATTTTTATATAAGGATTTAGGAAGCTGGTAATTGACTCCTCAATCTTGTTCTGAGATCAGGGTGTGCTTTTCTAGGAAAATGATTTTCTCATCAGAAATTTACCATGATTTTCCATGATTTTGGCAGGTAGAGAACTATTTTCTTTGCAGAGTTTTTTTTTTTTTAATTATTGAAACTGCACCAACAAAATATTATCTGGTTCAAACAACATATTATCTATAAGTCTGATATAAGACATAAAAATGGTTTAATTATGGGTGTCATGCAAGTAGAAATAGGGGTATAGCTCTGTCTCCTGATAACTCCATGTATGCTTAATTTTCTGTTGAACATTTTAAAGTCCCAATAGCACAACTGGAAAAATCCTCAGTGAAATATAAGGGTCACCAGAGTAGGAATCCAAGACCTAAACTGTAATCCCATTCCAGTATGTGTTGCTGAACCTCAATGGGTCCAAATTCCCTCATCTGTGAAATAGGAGATTGAACTAGGTATCTTTAATCTAAAATATTTAAGGGAACCATTAGAAATTTATATGCAAATTACAAAACTTCTGTGCTTTATCAGTTCTCTACTGCAAAATAAGATGATCACCGAAGGATAAAATTTGCATGTCTACCTCAAAATTCTAAGTATTAGATTTTTTAAGCTTAAAAATTTAAAGGAGTTAAAGAAAAAATTGCAATATAAATGCAAATTATAAAATTATCCTGTTCTGAGCAATTTCAATCTTTCTTTCTCACCTCATCTCAAATATTTCACACATTCATTCGGCAAACAGAATGCCCACTATCTGACAGCCACTGAGCTAAGTACTGAGGATGAAAAAGACAACTTTAGAATGTCCACTACTCTATAATTATTTATAATCTCCTCTCAATTACACCAGGTAATGTGTTCAACAGAGCTCTTTTGACTGTCTATGATGATGCATCATTTCTAAATGACAGATGATGCAAAAGGACATATTAAAACTAAATGAAAAATGAAGTGTAGTCATTTAAAAAGAACTATATATTTAAAAACAAGGATATTTTAAGTAGAATGGCTTTGTTGTAATTGATCTTTCATCAACTTGCCAAATAGTATTTAGTTTTATAGGTATAAAAGACTTTGTTTTCCAAGTAAGCAGAGTATCTCTTAAATATGAAGAAGGTTCCACTGTCTAGGAGATAATCTCGCTGAAGTCACCCCTGTTACCTGAACAATTCTGGATTACCAGTGGTTGCTTGAAATGGATTGGGGCCAATAGAGGGAAGTGGGATGAAGTTGCCAAAAGAGGCCTTTGAGGGTTTAGAGGGGAATTGTGAAAGGCGCATTCTCTCTTGATTTAAACCTAAATTTCTTTGTTGTGATTCGAACAACAGCCTTTTGGCATAGCTTCCTTTGTTATTCAGACTGGTAGATCTTCCAGCTGAATCTACAAATGCATACTCATTCATTCTGAGAGTGACTGTGCCCAAGGTGGAGCTGATGTCCCCCTCTTCCTCTACACATGGCACCCTTCCCAATACCCACCCAACAGTTGACTCAGGTTCAAGGGCCACTACCATCAATCAACCCCAGCACCATTTTCCAGGAACTGGCCTCTACCCCATTAGTCCCCGCCTCTCTTCTGAGAGCACCCAATGGGTGGAGACGGGGCTGCGGTGGGAGGGGCCTAAGGCGGGCACATTTAAAGAAAGGCAGAGGGCGAAAGGAAGCGAGAGAGAAGAAGAAAGAGAAACCAGGGGGCGAGGCGCCGTCCAATGACAAAGCCCAGGGGTGGGCGCCGGCAGCCATCTTGTACCGGGTGGCAGGATCTTCACCCGCGTCCTCCGCCCTCAGAGGGGGTGGGGCGGCGGCAGCCGAGGCGAGAAAAGTAGCGAGAGAGGCACCGGGCGAAAGGTGCTTGCAGCGGCCGCCGCCGCGGAGCCGGACGCAGGAGGGGGCGGCGGCGGCGGCGGCGGAGGAACCCAGAGAGCGCGGGCGGCCCCGAGCGGCCTCCTATGCGGCGCTACGTGAAGAGGCGGCGGCCCCAGGCGGCCCCGGCCTCGGTCTTCCGGGGCGGCGGCTTTAGGGCAGGAGATGGGGCCGAGCTGGAGGCGCTGGAGGACAAGGTGGTGTATTCCCGCTCGCAGCTGTCGCTGGCAGACACCACTAAGGCGCTGGGCGATGCTTTCAAGCTCTTCATGCCCCGCAGCACGCAGTTCATGAGCTCGGACGCGGAGCTCTGGAGCTTCCTCTGCAGCCTCAAGCACCAGTTCTCCCCGCACATCCTACGCAGCAAGGACGTTTACGGTTACTCCTCTTGCCGGGCACTAGTCCCTGACCCCCCAGGACCCCCAGCCGTCCACGGTCAGCCACGCAGGCCCGGCAGGGGCTGGGCGGCCAGGAGGAGGCGCCGCAGAGCCCGGGGGGCCGCTGCCCACAGAAAGAAATCGTCTCTGCCACCGCCGCCTGCCCCCGAGGAGAGCTGCGCTGCAGAGCCTGAGGCCCTTGGCCCTTGCTTCGGGGGCCGCACCCTAGAGGAGATCTGGAGGGCTGCCACCCCGACGCTGACCACCTTCCCCACCATCCGCGTCGGCTGCGACGTGTGGGGCGAGCGCAGCCTGGCGGCGGCACGGCGCCGAGCACACCAAGTCCTGCGAGTGAACCTGGAACCCGTGGTGAGGCTTCGCCGCTTCCCGGTGCCTCGGGCATGAAATGCAGCCCTGTGGACCCTCGGACGGAGCTCCCGCCTGGAGGGATGAACAAGTGTCAGTCGAGTGTTTACAGATCCGGCCAGGACTCGGTCCCCTAGTGCACTTTACGAGCGTAGAAGTCACCGGATGGTGTTCCCGGCTCTGCGCCCTGGACCTGCGCTGCCGTCTGGGACCCCGGGGCAGGTGTGCCCTCTCCTGCCTTCCAGCACTGGACCCGCAAGACAGGCCCCTTTTCTTCCTAACCCCAGATTGAGACGTCTCCAGGACTGTAGGGGCAGATCCATTCTCTCCCTTTTGGACTCTACCTCACTGGTCTGGAAGCCCTCCGAAGAAGTCACTATTTTTCCAAAGGAATTTGGTTTCGTGCTTGTGTAATAAGCCAGAATTCACTTGCTTTTTATACTTCTCCTCCCTGGTACCCGTTTTCTCCCCTCCCCCCCTTTTTTCCCTTTTGGACTACCACCCCTCTTTCTGGACGAAAGATCAAACATGTTTTGTGGTGTTGCAGTAGTTTGTGCTCAGGGTATTCTGAATCTCACTCGTTTCCTAACGTGAACTGGATTCCAGTGCTTTTGACCAGGGATGTTTTCTAAGCGATTCAAGCTTATGACTGTCAAGGATTTGTATGGCTTTGAACTTCATAGGCTCAGTGATTGCAAACAAAGAGATGCAAAATACAACTGTTTTAAATATTTTAAGGTGTTTCTAGATATTTTATATTGAAATTTAAAGTTTCTATTTGCTGAGCTCCTAAAGAAAATGGTAAACAAAACTCATATAAAGTTTTGTTTAGGACGAGTTGAGTTGTTAAACTTTTAAAAATTGAATGAAAATTAAAGTACATTGAAACCACATGACTTGTGCTTAAAAGAAATGAATACATTATTAAAAAACTGGCGTTGGTTAAAGAGATGGATGGAATCTGATTGGAAATGATATGGCCTCGTTGACTGATCTAACATACAAATCCAGGAATATTTCAAGAATAATTTATTTTAAAATGGGAGTCCAATAAGAGAAACGAACGTGTATAAATTTTGTGATTAAAATGATAAACAGAATACCCACTAGAATCCTCAGAACTGTAAATGATCTAGAGGGGTGGGGGCATTTCTTGGTATAAATAACTTGTTGGAAGTTTCTTTGGGTGAAATAGATTTATTTTTCCTTCTTATTTGACTTTGTTGTTGGATAACAAGAAATGTCCATACTAATATCACCACTTCTATAAACATCATGACAGTTGACATTTTTTGTTCCACCAGTTGCCTTTTTTATCTTATTTCCATTTCAGTTTATGTTTGCAGTTATGGGTCTTTGACAGCTAAAGACCACAGGAATCAAATAGGCAAGCCACACAGAGTTCTAACCCTTCTTTTTACACATTTGTAATAGTGTTTATATCATATGGCCCAGTGTGTAACTCTTGATTATCCAAGTGCCTTTGGTCATTGTTGGCAGCAAGACTTAATGGTGTTTAGTCAGTGGTGCCACAGCCAGATTTTACTGCAATATCTAAAGGGTCAAGTTTTTGTACCACTATTATTTCAAATTTAAGTATTCTGCCATGGAGCAATCTGTACTGGGCTGGAACTCGACATATGGAATACCCAATATTAAGGTTTATCTCTGCTTGGCAGCTTCTTTGGAGAATAATGAAAGCTGCAATTTTGACTCTTGTGTTCTTAGAATTTAAACAGCATAGCTTTCTGAAATGATTTTTTTCCAAGTTGCATAGTTTGCTGTAGGAGCCTTGTGACTTTACTTTCAGTGTTTTTGTTTTGTTAAAAACATTTTTTTAAAGATTTTTTTTTCATTTATCTTTCAGAGAGGGAGGGGAGGGAGAAAGAGAGAGAGAAACATCAATGTGTGGTTGCTGGGGGCCATGGCCTGCAACCCAGGCATGTGCCCTGACTGGGAATCGAACCTGCGACACTTTGGTTCGCAGCCCGCGCTCAATCCACTGAGCTTCGTCAGCCAGGGCTAAAAACATTTTTATATATATAATGACTTTATACAGTTTCCCAGTAGGCATCACAGTCTTTTATTCACTACTCAGTGATAATGCATTGTTACCTACACTGTCACATGAATAAATAAAAGAATAATTAGAAGATGGAGAGTGTTAAATTATATTTGTGTGATAGGAAGCTCATCTATATTCTTTTGCCTGTTAGCTTCCATTGCCAGTTGTATTTTAGTTATATTGGGTTTCCTCCTCCCCTGCCAAAAACTTAATTTTTTAAGCTAACTAGCATCCAAGAGGAAAATTTGTATTTGTACCACTTCTATTGTATATAGTTTTATAATAATTAAAAATAAATCCAATGGCCATATTAGAATGTAACTTCAACATATTGCCTATCTAGATAGTTTCCCAGAGGATTTGAAATTAGACTTAGCTAGGAGGATAATTTTGCTCAGCACAAAACTGAAACACAATCTTTCACACCATGCATTCATTGTAACTTAGGGTTTTGACTCTTTTTTTCTCTTATGCTTTGTTACTTTAGAGCACTTGAATTCACATATATATGCTTCTTTGGATTATCTGGTCTGTCTGATTTTAGTTTGGATCTAATTGTTCATCCTGCATTCAGTATGTTAATTTTTTGGTTTGTTAAAAATTCATGCCATTTCTGCTTTGTATGATAAGATGTAGAAAGAAAATCTTTATTTTTGCCAAGTTTTCTGTAGCAACACCTATGTTACAACTTACATAATGTGAAGAAACAACTAATATAGTTGACTAGTATATTAATAGGAAAGTGAAAGTATTTTATGGGTACTTTTGGACAGAATGTGAAAAGGAACTTGGCACGGTGGCCTTTATTGTGAGGCATCCATTTACTGTCCTCTAAAGTGAGTCTGTAGCCTAGCTTCTATATAGTTTTTGTAAGAAGTCCTATGATCTTCATTCACTATTTTACCTTCTCATATCTCATATGGCACAAGGAGAAGGGGGAAGCTAGGAAGTATATCACCTTGCTAAGCTTTTATTTAATTTTTAACTCTTGAGTGCCTAAATGTGGTGACTGGCACCTCAGTTAACCTTTCAAAATTTCTGATGTCATTTTTTTACCCTTCCTGTCAACCAGCAACTTATTTTTCCTTACTGAAACCAGTAATGTCATGATTGTTGAGGGCAAGCTTCATTGTTGATAGTGTAAAGTGTCATTGTTGGGGTGTGTATTTATTTTGTCCAAGTTTGAGGACCCTATTGGACAAGTGTAACTTAAGCTGGTGGCCGAATATTGATTTGCAATGTGCAAATCTGAAAACTTTTCAATACAAAAACATTAAAATATTTGAATACAAAAAAACTTGAGCAATTTTTAACTCAAAAGTTTTCTTTTAAGGGTTGCAGCAGAACCCTTTAAATTGGTGTTTTTTAATGGACATACATAATATTTACCTGTTTAAAATATTTCTTAATGGACTTATGTCTTAAGTGCATTAGAAGGCAATTATTTGTAATGGAACTGATTTTTTTGGACAGTTTGATGTGCATATGACTAAGATTTACAATCCGATTGTACTTTGCTTTTTAATTTATTAACTGTAAATAAATTTTAGAGAATACACAGTGTCTGGTTTCTCTAGTGATGTTAAAAGTTTTTGAAATGGGGTTTTATGTTTACATGTGAACTGGAAAACATTTTAATTTATCATGTGATAAATTTTGACTTTTTTGTGAACTTCAGACTCCTGGAAGTTTTGAGATCAGTGTGTCGTGCTGTATTGGGAGTCTATATTACATCAGCTCTAATGATTTAGTGAGTCTCCAGGACAGCACTTCATGCCCAAGACCAAGTCGTTACCCACTTTGTCAGCAATAAAGACTAAAAATGCATCAGAATTTAGTTTTGATTACTGACCCCAAGCTCCCCTGTGGTAGTGATAGAAGGTCTAAAGCTCACATTCTTTCACATTCTGAAAGAGTGTTCCATATGAGTAGCATCAATAAGAGCTGTTTTAACAGAGTAGAACTGGAATTTTCATTAACAATCTAGAAGGGAGAAATGAAATAATAGCAAGCACAGGGTTCATAGTCCTCTGTGATCTGAATTTGTGTTTGTACCTGAGTTCCTGTCAAAAATGGAGTCATCATGGTGTAACAGCTGTGAATCACAATGCCTGGGATAGAATTAAGGCTGCTATTGGCAGTAGAACTCCAGGTAAGTTACATAAACTGTGTGGCTTAGCTTCCTCAGATATCAAATGTGATTAGTAAAGGAAACTGTTAGATTAAAAGTGCATATTAATGGTGGACACATAGGAAATATTTAATAAATGCTATGAATTGGAGTCATGCATGCTGCGCATAAGTATATGCTGAGAGTGGTCCTTTGGGAATTAGCATTCTAAGAACAGTGTGGTCTGGGATAGCTGAAAGACAAGAGAAGGTAATTTGTGGGTGAATTAAAGACTATACAGCATGAGGTTGGTTTAAGTTGATTTAGTAGTAGTTTTCACTGTTGGAGGTTTTTTAGGCATTCTTAAAATTTTTTGTCTTAATTTTATCCTGGTATTTTCAAGATACTTAAAATGTGCTATTGTGTGTTTTAAACTAAGAATTTATAAAAGTAATCAGCTAAAGTTACTGACCCAAGAACTTGCTAAATTTCCACGCTCAGTTTTTGCTTGGCACAAATTCAGAGGGTTGCTTAAGAACCATGTTAATCAACATGTACAGAACTAAATTGGAATTAATTTGTGTGAGGTTTGTACATCTTTTGTTAAAGGAAACAAATTGAGTACAATAGTTATGTTTGAAACAGAAAATTATTACTAAAGGTAAAAAAGATCCTATTTGAAGCATTGATACACTCATTTTTAGATTTTGGATCTAAAGCCTGTGATTTAGTTCTAATTCCTGTTAGCACAAACAATAACATTATATTCTAACTTGATGAGCAAGCCAAAGTTGTATCTGAAGTTGACACAAAAGAATTTTCTTAGATGGAAGTTACCCTGTAGGAAGAAGCTGCAAACAGCCTGACTAGATTTTACAATAGCAATGACTTCTCACTGTCAGCACTGGTATTGGTAAATACCAATATTGGTATTGGTAAATGTCATCTCAAACCATAATGTATGATACTGTAAACATATCCAGAGCCCAACTGGAAGGTAATGATCACAACATCATACACTATAGCTAGCTAGCTCAGCGAGTTTGAATAAATACTCAACTGAGAATTGGACTTCTTTTGCTTCTGAAAGTATCCATAAATATGTTACATTGAGATTGTTCAAAGTACTGAAATTAACTGTGTAAGTGGTGTGTGTGTGTGTGTGTGTGTGTGTGTGTGTGTATAATTTCTCTTGTAGGATTTTTTCAAGTACATGTTCTTTAAATATTTAGTAGAACATGGAAAAAAAGTATAATTTAGGGTTTTAGAGTCTAGGTTAAAAATTGTTGAAGCATATTAAAAGTACACATATTAAAAGTATTATAACCCTGGCCAGCTAGCTCAGTTGGTTAGAGCATAGTCGCACACCCCAAGGTTGCAGGTTCCATTCCCCAGCCAGGGTACAAACAAGAATCAACCAGTGAATGGATGGATGGGTGGGGCAGCTGGTGGATGTCTCTTTCTCTTTCCTTTTCCCCCTTTCTCTCAAATCAGTGAATAAAACTTTTTAAAAAAGTATTATAAGCACAGCTTCATAAAATTTAGTAAGATCAATATTCTCATGCAATAAACAGTTTAAAAAGAAAAACAGAACATTACCAGTACCCTAGAGGACCACCAATGCCCCTTCTAGTCATTATCCATCTCCCCTCCAGATGACAATTACTGACATTTTGCAACATAGATAACTTTTGCCTGTTTTTGGATTTTTTATACAGGGGTTGCCAAAAGTAACTTTACAGTTGTAAGTAGGTGCAACAATTTATTCTTGTATTATTTATTAGTTATTGTATTATTTTCCATATGAACAACTAACTGTAAATCTACTTTTGTCAACCCCTGTATATAGAATTATGTATCATATGCCTACTTTATTTCACTCAAAATTATGTTTGTGAGATTCATTCATATAATTACATTTGGTTGTAAGTCATTATTTTTCATTGGTGTATAGAATTCTATTGTGCAAATATTCTACAGTGTCTCTGCAATTCTTGATGAACATTTAGATAGATTCCAGTTTAGGGCAGTTATAATCAAAGCTTCAGTGAACATTAGAGAACATGTCCTTTGGGAAACTTTTTTTGGGGGGGTGGGGGGGTAGTATTTACATAGGAGTAAATTTGCCTGATTACATATTATTCAAATGATTAGATTTGGTAAATACTTTCACTTTTCCCAAGTGGTTATACCAATTTACAGGAAGTTTTAGAATAGTGTATGAGAGTTCAGGATTTTCATATCCTTGCTAACACTTGGTATCTTTGGTCGTTCTTATTTTAGCCGTCCTGGTAGGTACACAGACTTTTTAAAAATTAAAAACATTTAAAGCCAGGTAATGTATACGTGTGGTTTTAAAAACCCACCTTAAATAGCACATAAGGGCTTATAAAAATAAATAATAATAACAATAATAATTCCCTACCTCACCCAAACCATCCTTTTCCTAGAGGCAACACTTTTTTAAAAAAGTCAGATTATTTTTTTAACATGCTATTTTTTAAGGGCAGTTTTAGGTTTAGAAACAAATGGTACAGAAAATATAGAGCCTCCCCTCACACCCCATTCTCTACAGTTATTAATATCTTGAATTATGTGGATACATTTGTTATAACTGATGGATGAGATATGATTGACACATTATTAGGGTTCACTTTATGTTGTACAGTT